ATATATATATATATATATATATATATACTTACTGTGTTATATAGCATATTTAAATTTATTATTTTGGGCTGTTGTTTTACCCTATCCTGGTCGTTAAATTCATTATATAAAAGATGGAAGCTACGAGTGTAGATGAAACATGGAAATTAGAACTAAGGGAGTTTGGAAAGGACCTGGGTTATAAAGACGAAGCTCTTACTAGGTGGGTGGAAAGGAAACTGATCGAAAAAGATAGGCTAGAACGGGAATTACAAGATAGGCTAGAACGGGATAAACCAGAAAGACAAGCTAGAGAACGAGATAGACAAGATAGGCTAGAACGGGAAAAACGGGATAGACAAGTTAGGCTAGAACGGGACGAACGAGATAGACAATCTGGGCTAGAACAGCTGGCCCAGGAGCTGGCACAGGCAGAGTTAAAGTTACAGGAAAAACATAATATGTGGAGAGAGGAATTAACGATTTGATTATAGGGGCCATTAACAAGGTAAATTTAAATAACCATATGGTTGACATTAAGGAGGCCAGGAATCAGAGGCGTAGCGTGGTGGGGGCAGGGGGGGCAGATGTCCCCGGGCGCCAACTAGTTAGGGGCGCCAAAATGTGCTTTGATATTATTTTATTGATGAAAATAATGGGTTTGAGAGTTGAAAAAAAGAAAAAGGGGCGCTAAAAATGGATCTTGTCCCCGGGCGCGAATCTTGTCCCCGGGCGCCAAACACCCTCGCTACGCCACTGCCAGGAATGTTTTAAATGTAGCTGAAAGTCGGGAGTCAGTTAGAAATTTTGCTAGCCAGGATGTTGTAAAACTGGGTGCTGCGAGTGAGAAAATTGGTACTGAATGTAGGCATAGCGCAGTGTAGTCATGAGGATGTTTCAATTGACATAGAGACTGTCATTAGAACTGGCCTGGTACAAGAGGCAGATATTGGTTATGTACGGAAAGAAGATGTTGATTTAGTACAGGAGGGAAATGTTGTTTTTGTACAGCAAGGAGATGTTGGTTTGATGCAGGAGGGAAATGTTGATTTTGTACAACAAGGACATGTTGGTTTAATACAAGAGATATTTGTTGATTTTTTAAACAAAGGAGATGCTGGTTTAGTACAGGAGGGATTTATTGATTGTGTAAACCAAGAAGATATTGGCTTGGTAAAGGAGGGATTTGTTAATTTGTTAATTTTATACATCTGGGAGATCTTGGTTTAGTACCAGAGGGATTTCTTGATTGTATACAGAAAGCAGATGTTGATTTTGTGCAAGAAGGAGATGTTGATAATATCAAGAAGTGGACAAGCTAAGGAGATCACGAGGTAGAGGTGGTGAGCTTGTCAAGGGGGCGTATTTTCAACAAAGTTGAGGTTTATTGGAGACCACCTTACATGGAGCTTCGAGGGTAGTCGTCAACTTGACTGTCAAGTCAGTGAATTTTGCGGTGTGGGAGACACTGGTTACCCGAGGTTTGAGAACCGTGGGGGACACTGAGATTGTTTTTAATCATGATTATGAACATTACTGGAGGGGTGAGAGTTTTTTCCCTTGAGATCGGGGGAGGCGAGAAAATGTGTGCGAGTGTTCATGTGTGTGATGTGTTTGATCATGCGACCCAGGACTGTTCAAAGCTTGAGAGCCATGAGAGCTCATACTTATGGTTTCGATTTTTTGAGAAGGTGTGTATTTTCCATGAGTTGGGCGGTGAGGTTGTTGATATTGTTGTCATTACAACTGATTGTGTTCATTGTTACAATTTTAATGATTTTGATATTATTATATTTAAGAATATAGCGAAAATCTCTCTCTCTCTCTCTCGCTCTCTCTCTCTCTATATATATATATATATATATATATATATATTATATATCTTGATGTCTCTATCTGTCCCGCTCTGTCTATCTTATTCTTTCTGGTAAGAAAGCACGCTGCCTATATATAGGGTTAAAAGCAAAACGTTATCATACAGAAATTCTAGAAACTTCGCAACCTAACCGAAGTCTTTTGAATAAATAGAACGCATTCGAATGTAATCAACCTATTCCCAGCCAAGAAAGGGTGGGCAAGGAAGGAATGACACAGCACATTTACAAGGTGACATCAATATCAAGGCCATACTAAGGAGAGAGAAATGGGGATGGCTAAAAATAGCTCGAAATGTACTATACTAGGCTATACTAGTGAAGACACACGGTGGTGGCTATAAATAACTCTACGTTGAAGTGAACAAATTGACCAAAACAAATGCTGTAATATAAAAAAGTCAATATAGTTTTTATTTCTTTATATTTGATTTTTTTTTTATTTGTATACAAACTTAATATTATAATTAAATTGAATATTGTTAATACCACTAGCTTTGCTATTGTTTTTCTTTGTATACTGGTTTTTCAGTCCTTTGTTAGGTATTTGTTCAACAAACGAGCCAAATCTTAAAACAACTTATTTTTGCTTAACCATATTTACGCAACAATGTATTGAAAAGCAAGATATCAAAAATAATTAATATAAATTATTAGCATTCTTTAAAAAAAAATTCTCTATTCCAAAAGAAGATTATTAAAAAATATTGTTCCTCCTCAAACAAATTACGACTTTTCAGCGATCCCCACCCCTTACATAGTGTTTTTCTTGGACGCTCCGCCCATTTCACCCCTCCTCCTCTAGATTCGCAATTGTATTCAGTGCCAAGTTTGTGAGAACCGCAGGTCTAAAATAAATTTTTAAGGTTTCTCTGAATCAAGTCTTAAATTCTAGAGTCTTGAGTTAGGCTGCTCAAAACTTGTAAAGTTCAAAATCGTTATATCTGTATGTCTTGTTGTGTGCCACCATGGCGCACTGGCACAAGGATTTGGGGACCACTGTCCGACACATAATTATTTTGACTCGTTTTGACATGGGATCTCCGTGTCTTATCACAGACACATGTTTGATTCACATTTCAGAGCTGAAGAAATTGGTGATAACCAAAATTCAGACGACGTACACATGACCATGACCCTCAGTGACCTCTGGTAATCAGCTGATGGTGTTGCTCCAGGGGTGACTTAGTCCCTCACTGTTTTGCTGTAGCAAAGATAACGCTGTTCACAGTGCCCCTCTTTCATTTACGAAACAGATCAGGTTTGGTTGATATTTTGATTCGTTTTAGTTTCATTATTGAATATGTTCTCTTACCGATCTATAGCTATTTTTTTATTATTATTAAATAAAGAAACAGGTGGTCAAATAGAACAGTGACCCCAATTTAAGCTTTATCTTAAGACGTTTATTACAATCTTTAAAGTATTTACATTCACCAGAGCCGTCATGTCACATTTTGAGTGCCCCCCTCCCCCTTTTTCAACACGCACACACACACACTTTTCTCACTTTTCGGTTTTGTGCCATCTGCAAAGTTGAGAGTTAAAATTTCCCAAAAGTCTATCCCTGAACTTCATGACCACTGAGATCTCTGCAACTAACGAGAATATCTTTAGCTGAGACTTGTAAACGCTGATAGAAAAACCACATCTTTTTTTTCTGGAGCTCTGTCCTGGATCCGAATCTTGAATTGCAGAAGAGGGTCATTTTCGGTTAGGAGATAAGGTAGAGATGGTAGGAGAGAGAGATGGTTGGAAAGAGATTGTAGAAAAAAGATGGTAAGGGAAAGATGGTAGCAGAGAGATGGTAGGAGAGATTAAAGACCACGATTACAGTAAAGAAATTAACAGTAATTATTACTAAAATATTTTAAATGATTGCCCATTTACCTAAGACTCATGGAGCTCCCGCAATTCTATCCACAACAACAAGCGGATTTCCGCTCCAGAGGAAATAAGGCCCTGGCTAAAGCTCCGTTCCAAAGCCCCTAAAACGGTGGTTCTCAACCTTCCTAATGCCGCAACCCTTTAATACAGTTCCTCATGTCGTGGCGACCTCCAACCACAAAACTATTTTTGTAGCTACCGGTACTTCATAACTGTAGTGAGTATGTGTTTTCCGATGGTCTTAGGCGACCTCTGTAAAAGGGTATTTGACCCCTAAAAGGGTCGCGACCCACATGGTTGAGAACCGCTGCCCTATAAGAAACTTTTTTTTTTTTTTTAAAAGCCCAATTTAAGGTCTAAGATTGTTGATCTTCAAGTATAATGTTTATGTTAATGTCTCAAAAGAACGCGTTTTGACATTTCTGAGTAAGTTGAAAGTTGAACCTTTGAGCAGAAACTGTGGCGAGCCCAGGTTAAGTGTCACCTGGACCGAACCAAGATTTGTAACGCCCACAAAACTTCGACCAGTTTGCCGAAAATGTCGCCTCTCCATGTAAAGAAAAAAGTGCTGCGAGGGGGGGGGGGTTCTCCCTACGCCCTCTCCCTATAATGCCACTGTCAGCTGAATTCTACTTATTTATCATGCCTTGTCATATAGTTAAGGGGGGAAAGGAAAGGACTGGATGACGTAATATCTGTATTCATTCGTAAACGATCACTAGCATCTGTCTGACGTGTAGCAGTAGACAGAGGCGTAGCGAGGGTGTTTGGCGCCCGGGGACAAGTTTCGCGCCCGGGGAACAAGATCTATTTTATAGCGCCCCTTTTTCTTTTTTTCAACTCTCAAACCCCATTATTTTCATCAATAAAGTAATATCAAAGCACATTTTGGCGCCCCTAACTACCTAGCGCCCGGGGACATCTGTCCCCCCTGCCCTCCCCTCGCTACGCGTCTGGCAGTAGAAGGAAGCATACGTTTTTTAGACAGCTTTTATCTTTTGTATTCACGTTGATCCACATCGTGCATCCTAATAGACATTGACGTGCGTGTGTGTGTGTAATCTTGTTGTTGTTTTTTTTTTTGTTTTTTTCTAGTTCAAAACACACTACACAAAAGGGATGTCAAGACTAAAAGAACTCTGTGCTGGACTACCCTTGGACCCTCTACCTGAGCTCCATCCACGAGATCCCAAAGTACCCCATGCCCCAACCAGGCTGCAAGACCTGACACGTGAGGAAGAAAAGGTTGGAGTATAACAGTGCTGGCACAAATTTCCGACCACTAATCATGAATTTTGATCGGTCATATAGTTTGAATAGATTAGTTCATAAATTTCTAAGAAACTTAGCGATCTATTAATGTTGAAGTAGTTGAATGTTGATTTTGTTAAATCAAAATAATGAAAATATGTCATTATTTTTTTTATTTTTATTTTAGATTACCTAATTTAGATTGAACTTTGTTCTTAAAATAAATTTAAAATGGCATTATCATAGTTTATATTTAATTGTTCATTTAAATATAAACATGGTTTTCTTGATTCTACAGACTACTTTAAAATAAGTAGGTTACCAACACATAACATATATAAAAAAAAAAAAAATGTTTTTTTGTTTTTTCACAAGCCTAATTCTAAATTATTTCGGTCATATCAAACGTTAATGCAATCTGCCTTTCATTGTACAACGTCTCTAAACCTAAGAAACGATGTAAAACATAGTGAAACATACATATGTTTTCAGTGGCGGAGCTAAGGTAAGTGCCGCCTGGGACGGGCCAAGATATTTGTCGTCCCCTTCCAGGATAAAAAAGCCACCCTTTTATATGAAGAGAAAAAGTTCAGCCCGTGTGGACGGCCCCACTCTTCCTATGTCACTTTGTGTTTTGTATTAGTGTGTGCCTCAAACGGCTTCTCTCAGCGCTTGCAACATTGCCACATACACATTTGGAAAAAGAGAAACAAAGCTCATTCAACATAAATAGTCTAATAGATCTCTTCTAGGCCTTAGATATAGAACCTTAAAATTTGTCTTTATTCTTTTTGATAAACGTAATAGCTGGCCATAAAGTTCTGTAGCAGTAATGTCTACTGCACAGTTGAGTAGCTGGGGCAAGTGCAAACCGGGGTTGGCCTAAACGTATAGGGTGAGCCAAAAAATTTGCCGCATATATATGTACTTCGACCATTGGCGTATCATAGGGGTTAATTGGGATGATGGGACATAACGGGGGTCATGTTTACGGCCGTGAAAAATATTTAATCCGTATTTTCCACATCACCGGTTATCGAATTTCCAAGACTTGGGCAAAAAAGGGGAATGACGTATTTGGCAAGTGCTGTCCAGGTACGTCCTGTGAGTTGTGGCGCTAAATGCACCCAAGACCGAATGGTCTAAGAACTTATGATCAGATTATTCAAAAAAAAAAACTAAACATAAGCCATTATATTCATTTCTGAGGAGAAAAGCTTATTTTCATCTATCTGCAATTTTACTAAAATTGTTTTCCAATAAAAAGAAAATCCTGGCAAACATTGTTATTTCTTCTGTTAATTCTGGCTTGCCTGTTAAACAATTAAATGAAAACTTTAAAGGTGCCGTCTGTTCCACGTTTTATTTTTTCTTGTTTATTATTCCACGAAAGTCTTGCTACAGACTAATTTTAAGGAACAACGAAAAACTCGAACAAGGATTTTCAAGATTTAAGAAAAATTGACTATGTATAAAAAAAAATCCATTTATTTAGATAATAAACTTATATTATCTTATTATTGTCATATTACAACTTGGTCAATTATTTAGCATACGAGGCATAATCGGTCCCAGCCCAGACCTACTAATAAAGATCAATACTCGGAGGTCGAGATTCTATCTCTTAGGACCTTGGCCGTGAAACATAGCCTAGTAGTCCCTGGGGACTCCGGCCATGCAACTCGGCCTTGAGTAACGGGGTTTAGGGTAGGTTTCTTCCACTCATGAGGGGACAGTTTTGCGTCACAGCCCCCCTTGCCCATTGAGTCTTACGGTCGAGACGTAGGGTTGGAACAGCTTTGCTTCCTCTCCGGAGATGACGTTGCTTTGCCACCCCCACTGCCCAGGGAGCCGTACGTTCCTTGGTGTGGCACGGCTTTGCTTCCCCTCCGGGAGATGTCACAAGCTTAACTTTCTCCCACCGTTCCTAGGAGTTGTGTGGACATGGGTCAAAACGGCTTTACCTCCTCTCCGGGGGAGGCGTTGCGTTACCTCACCCCACCGTTCAGGGAGTTGTTCGGACGGGACTGTGTCGGGACGAAACGGTCGCCTAGGAGCGGCTTTCTCAAGGCCGCATGTTTTTAATCCTCGGCAAGGGTTTTAAAAGAAAACTCATGCCTCATATCCATTATCGCCCAGACCTACTGCAATGAACTATTATTATTTATCCTACAATGCATAGATAGCTATAATGATTGAAATTATCGTTTTAATATTAAAGAGATTGATTTAACTTAGACAATTAATGTTCATACATAGTATGCTTAAAATGGCTGCATTTAAACTTAATCATTTGAATATAGTTAATCTTTATGAAAAGTCTGCCTTTCCTGGGTCCTAACTTCTAAAAGTTAAGTTTCAAAAATTATTTTAAACTCTTGATTTGAATGAATTTTTTTGCGCTGAAGCAAGATTTAGTCAATAATTTAAGAATCCCAAAGTCTGCTAATAGAAAGTAAAAATTCACGGTAAAATAAAATTATGCGTTTCGTCTTTTAATCCCTAATATTCCTCTCTTTTGGTTGCAGTTGGTTGACTTATGCCGCCACTCGATTAATAGAATAAAAGTACCGCCCTTGGGGCGGACCGTACCCCGTCCCGTTCCTTCTTCAGTGCAGCTGAATCGTCATTTTCAAATGCTCAAGCTAATCAAAGGCCCGTATCGTTTAAAATAAAAAAAATCCAAATAAATCACAGTGGGGCTGTTTCTATTAAAACATGTAACTGTAAAAAAAAGTTTTAAAATAAACTCCAAATTTTTTTCTGGGTCAAGAATTGGATAATCTGGAACCTTTTAGTTAAAGGATAATAAGGGGAGAGACGGCCATATCTACATGTAGGCGTAGGCCTACAGGTTCAGGCCAACTATAGAGATGAGGTATCCAACACCTTAGCCTTAGGAAGTACGATAATATACAACCTTTTAGTAACATTGAATGTTTTTGTTTTTAGTTGTGTTTTTTTTCGAGATCTTAACCTTAATGGATTTTTTTTTTTTTTTGATGGTCTCTTTTCTTTTGTTGGAATTTTCCGCCCCTTGAATATGTTTTTGTTTTTAGTTGTGTTTTTTTTCGAGATCTTAACCTTAATGGATTTTTTTTTTTTTTTTGATGGTCTCTTTTCTTTTGTTGGAATTTTCCGCCCCTTGAAATGTCGCTCTAGGCAACCACCTATATCGCCTGTACGGTACCTAAATTTTAAAGTGGTCACTTAACATAAATTTTAATTTTTAAGGTCGTGAATGGGTGAATTGGAAACGGGAGATAATAATAATGTGCAAAATTTGTTAAAATAAACATGTAGTAATTATTTCCCTTACTATAAATGTGTACGGTAATACTTTTACAACCAAATGGAAAAGCTACTAATCATTACTTTAAAAATTGTTGTTGTTTTGTTGTTGTTTTTTTTTTTTTTTGGGGGGGGGGGGGGGTTACCGTTTACGTCATAAAGCTATACATAGTAAGAGAGACCCCATTCCAATTATTTTCTAAGGGAATCGTTTAAATAAGTATTTTATTTAAATGAAAGTTGGACCTTAGGATTATTTTTACATATAAACATCAAAAACATGTTGTTCGTCTGTCGGGAGTCGACCATGACCACTTTATTGAAGTATCCCATGTCTATATTATTAAAGGTAACTCTTATCTGAAATAAACTATATTTCACCCCCTTGTGTAGTTGGCCGTCCAAAATGCACTGAGATATTTCCCATCAAAGCATCATGAGCTGTTGGCCACAGAGTTTGCCATAGAGCTAAGAACCTATGGCCACATCTACATGTACAGATTTAGGCCAACTATAGAGATGAGGTATCTAGCACCTTAGTTAAGAAGTACGATAATGTCACAAACTGTTCACTTATCATAGCACACAAAATGTTCACTTATCATAGCACACAAACTGTTCACTTATCATAGCACACAAACTGTCCACTTATCATAGCTCACAAACTGTTCACTTATCATAGCTCACAAACTGTTCACTTATCATAGCACACAAACTGTCCACTTATCATAGCTCACAAACTGTTCACTTATCATAGCTCACAAACTGTTCACTTATCATAGCACACAAACTGTTCACTTATCATAGCACACAAACTGTTAATTTATCATAGCACACCAACTGTCCACTTATCATAGTACACAACAGGTCACCTATCATAACTCACAAGCTGTATACTTATCATACTCAGATGTTTTTTAAAGTAAATTGATTAGGCATATGAACACTGCCTTTTTTTAACATTACAAAATGTATCATTTGTACATACACCATTGGAAATAGTCATTACTAGTTAGGAAAAACTCATGAAAATCTCAAGTGTTGTTACAATAAATGGTCTTCCATTCTTTATTGAAAAGAGGTATCTATTTTAAAACAAAATTAACACAGATTAGTCACATTGTAGGACTGACCCTTATTTCATTGAACCTAATTAAGGTCTGGCCTTTCCGTATTCAGTACAGTAAAATTAAATTTGAACATTTCTTCTCCAGAGCCTACCCTATTTCTGAGTATCCAGCAAAATGCCAAGCTGCCGCTGCTATAATGCATATGATAATGAACAACCTTGACCCCAGAGTAGCCCAATTTCCACATGAACTGGTAACCTATGGTGGCAATGGTCAAGTATTCTCAAGTTGGGCTCAGGTAAACTGTAAATTGCTGTGTTATTTTATTAGTTTTTGCCCACACAAAATTCAGCAAGAAATCATAATTGGACCTAATTGGCATTGGTAAATCTTTTTTTTTAAACTTTCAAATTTTACCTAGTTCACAAAGATTTACAAATAAATGCCATGAAAATTGTAAAAATATTTAAATTACCATATTTAAACTCTTTTAGGATTTTCTTTTGACATGCATTCACATATTATTTTGATAGTTTTGGCTGACAATGAAGTACCTGTCAGAGTTAACAGACACTCAAACATTAGTAATGTATTCAGGTCATCCAATGGGCATATTCCCCAGTTTGACATCATCACCCAGGCTGGTCATCACTAATGGCATGGTGAGTTAATTAGTAAATTCACTATTTTGGTAACGGTTATCACTGAGTATTCTTTCTCAATCTTTATTTATCACGATAGAGAGCATTTTCTAGATGTTCATACCATTTTCAGATGGTTCCCAACTATTCCAGTCGAGAAATGTATGACAAGTTATTTTCTCTGGGCGTGACCATGTATGGTCAGATGACTGCAGGCAGTTACTGTTACATTGGCCCGCAGGGCATCGTCCATGGCACCACAGTAGGTTTATTATGTGATAAAACTAAAGTTGTTCATAGCCCAACTGAATATTTAACATTTAAACATGGTAAATGCTGATACAAAATTTATTAAAATTCCATTTGCTTAAACCCTTTATTATGAAGTATTAAGATAGCTAAGCATTGTTTTGGTGTAAAATATCAAAAGAAATCCTTCTGCATTCTGGAGATTAAAGAAAGGCACACATATTTCTTAATTCTATTAGCTGACGATTCTCAATGCTGCACGGAAACACCTGAACACAAATGATTTGGCTGGAAAGGTTACTTTGTTTTAAAATTTTTAAAAACTAAAATTGTGATAACACACATTAACAAGCTTGTATTCCTCCTTTTTTTTTACATTTTATCTTAAAACTCTAGACTCTATTCTATTCAAGAAGCATAGCTATAAAGTATAAAGTATTTATGTAGAAAATATTAAATATAATTTGTATTCTATGTATTTAAGAAGCAGATTATTTCAATAGCGATTTTTAAAACAAACACTCATCAATTTAAAAACATGTTAAAATAGTTGTAATGCTTCATTTGAAAGCTATTTTTCAAAAATAATAGTAGCATTACACATGCATAGACTAACTTCCATTAGTACGTTGCCTATTGTGATTTACTTATTATTTATCAATAATACTAAAACACATTTAAATAAGGATTTGCACAATTTCTAGGTGTTTGTTAGTTCTGGCCTGGGTGGAATGAGTGGTGCCCAAGCTAAAGCTGCAGTCATTTGTGGATGTGTTGGTGTTATCGCTGAGGTAAGTTCTGAAAGCTGTTAGCCTGACCAAAGTGATATGTTTTATGACCTCTTTGCATGTTTATATCTTTTCTAATATTTAGTACCCTATTATATTTAAACTGCAGAAAATAATTTTTGAAATAATTTTTTAAAAGGTAAAACATTTTCTTTGGATTATTTTTTTTTAAAATTTCTGCCTAAAATATAAGTTATGGCTAAGCCATTAGTGCACAAAACTCTGCCTGAATTGGTCCAGAATTTTTTTAATTTTGTGACCATGAAGTTATTGTAGTTTTACTACAAAATGCATGACACGCCATGATGATAGAGAAAACCATTGTACCAAGGCCCTTAATTAAGTTCAAGCAAAAAAATCTGTACTGTGTTACATAAAAATCACAGTGTGTTTTCTGACAGATTCAATTCAAATTTGCTCAGAATTTTGACATAAAAAATGTATTCTTCATAACTGTTAGGTAAGTGAAGAGGCATTACTTAAGCGCTACCAGCAAGGCTGGGTTATGGAACTTGTTGATAACCTGGACAATCTAATAGCACTGTTGAGGAATGCCCGTCGCCGAAAGAAACCTCTCAGTATTGGCTACCATGGAAACATTGTGGATGTTTGGTAATTATTTTCAGTTAATTGAGACACATCTTTTTAGAAGTTATTTTTATTATCAGAAACCTGCAGCGACTATACTGATGATGCCTTAGACTTCTCTTTTGTGATGGCAATTATTAAACTACAAAAATGCCAAAAGATAACAAGAAATTATTAGGTTAATACAGATTCAATACCACTAATATGCACATTCTTTGATCTTGCTACCATTTTTTTTAAAATAACAATTAAATTATGTTAATTTGTGTTACCTAAAAAATGAATTTTATATGTGTCACAAAGAAGAAATAGAAACTAACTTTATAGTTGAAGAGATATGTCCTTAAAAAAATAAATAATTGATCAGTAAATTATTTATGTAATAATTATACATCATATTAACTAACTCCAGGATTTAGATTAGATTTCATTTCTTAAAAATCAGGGAACGTCTAGTGATTGAGTATGAAGCTGCAGGAGAAGTTCTGGCTGATTTGGGATCTGACCAGACCTCTTGTCATAATCCATTCCAGGGTGGCTACTACCCAGTACAGATCAACTATCAGGAGGCTAGAGATCTGATGCACCAGGATCCTCTGAAATTCAAAATTTTGGTACAAGAAAGGTGAAGAATAAAATATTCATATAATGTATTTACTGTGAGAATTAACTTGGGCTTGTACCATAAAAATATAAATTTTTCGTACCGGGTACTAAATATGGAGATTTAAAAATCGGGAAATTTAAAAAAAAATGATTTAAGGTTGAAATGGTTTGGAAATGTAAAATACTTTTAGTCTGAAGTAGAGGTTTGAACTGTTAAAACTGATATTTTTTAAAAATTTAAGTTTGGGTTTAAAAAAGTAAAGATATGTAACGTATGGTATATCCTTTGCAAGTTATTTATAACATATGCATGTGTATTTAAAAGATAATTCTATTTAAGTGTGATTTGCATTATACAATAATATTAGAATGAACTTAAAGTCTTTGAAGATGAAAATATGAAATACTATGGGACATTAATAATATTATATGTATATAGCCTTTGTCGTCATGTGAAAGCCATCAACAGACTAGCATCTCATGGCTTGTTCTTCTTTGACTATGGAAATGCTTTCCTTCTCGAGGCCAGTAGAGCAGGTGATCTTTTAATTTACTTAATTTTTATATTGATGCATTAACTTAAAACCTCTGAATGATGCAAATTATACAATGACATTTTTTTTTTTTGCCCTCAAACATGTTACCTTGGTGGAAACCTCAAGGTCTCTTTAAATTGCTTCCAGAAAACATGTGTACAAAACTAAAAATATTTCTATCACATGAATACCTCCCTAAACCCCTTGCTAAATAACATAAAACTGTTGACTTCTTCAGTATTCTTCTAGTTGAGGAAAAAAACTATTAAAACGGAACCTGTCTGACTTACAGAAATCCTTTACATAAAACCATTTTTTAATTTGATCAATTAAAAATTTAATTTTTTAGCCTTACAAGATAAACGTTCTAAAAGAAAATTAATATGGCAACATATTTTACATTTAGGGGCTGACGTTGGGAGGACAGCTGGACTACATGGCACAAAATTCAAATATCCTTCATATGTACAAGACATAATGGGGGATATTTTTTCCTTAGGCTTTGGTCCTTTCAGGTGAGAAGATTTCATGATTTGATACATGTAGCTGCATTTTTATTTTATGACTAAAAAGTTTCAGGTGTAAAGGGTGCATCCCTTTAACAGATGATAAGTTACAAATTGCTTCTTTCTTAAAGTGCAATCCAGTTTGTGATTCTTTGATTGAACTCATAACTCACAGTTGGAAGACAGTGAAATTAAGAAGCTACACCATCATCTCACATAGAGAGTCAGATGCTGAATTGTGTGTTGCTTTTTTTTTTTTTTTTAAACAATGACGTAAAACCAGATGGATCTCTTTGTTCAAGAAAATGTTTAAAGCAAAGAACAAACAATTTTAAAACGTTTTGTACATTTTTTTGTTGATTGAATTGTGTTTTTCAAAGTTTAAATGTATTGATAGTTGAACACAAGCATTTATAATTTAAATTTTCACCCCCATTTACAGGTGGGTTTGTACATCAGCTGAGCCAAGTGATCTTGAGAAAACTGATGCTATAGCTACATCCATCATTGAAGATCTAACAGCACAAAATGGTATTAAAAATTCATTGCAATATTTTGTTTATGGTTTAGAATATATTCTTTTGTTGAAAAATAATAAAAAAATGTTCTGTCAATACATTTAATGTTTTTTTACATACCGGTACCGTATAAGAAAATGTTTAGACCATTCATAGTAGTTGAGGGAAGCTAATTTTAAACCACATTTAATAAAAAATACTGACATCAACTTTATGACTGGTGACTTTGTTTTCTTATCTCTTTTCTATCTCAGTTTAGGGTATTCAAGCAGTTACACGGTTGCAGTGCAGTTATTGTTTTGTAAATGTTAAAGAAGTACAGACATGTTTTAGTTATATTAACTTAATTTAACATTATAATTATAGTTCCCAAGCCTATCAGACAACAATATGAAGATAATGGAAAGTGGATCAGAGAAGCAGGGGAACATAAGCTGGTAATTTTACATTCGATAGTGATGTCACTAAAGAGTTGTGAGGGTTGTTGAATGCATTTTAATTTTAAGACACCATCATTCAGTAAAAATGGGTGCTGAGTGGTCTAAACTGAGCAAAACTGAGCAAATTTCAAGTTGATGGTTTGATGCTCAGTCAATCAAAAACACCACCAGCACTCCGGGTGGATGGGACTCGTTAACCTTGGATGGCAAGTCATCAAAGAGAAGGAAACTCTGAATTCAAAAATGGAGGTGGAGTCCCGTAGTTGGGTAACATTGGTACAATTGAATAAAACATTCCGACAACTCCTGCTAGGCCACTGGTGCCAAGCTGTATCATCCAAATGATGTTCCCTTGGGTTATCCAGCGGCGAATTCCACACCATCGTCACAGTGTGACGGACAGATGCCAGAAAAAAAAATTGTGTTTAGTTAAAATTCAGTAAGAGTTTTATTCATTTATATGGATTCCATTTTTAATGGAATGATGTTTATGAGGAGAACACTAACCTAACTCATTACACTTAATTTAAGATTTCTACTGTAGAGGTGGATGGGATGTATTTTTTTATATTTATACCTTTGATGTGATGAGCCAATGGTGCAATTTCATAAAATTATACACATTGTTTAATCACTAGAGATTCTGTTGTTAATTTAATTTTTCCATAGTTATAAATCCTAGTTGCCTTATATTTTTACATGAAAACAAATTAATTCTGGTGCTCAAATTGTATGCAACCTAATTTGGTTATTTACTATTATGCTCAAGGTGGTGGGCTCCCAAGCTAGAATCCTCTATTCTGATCAAGAAGGTCGCACTGCCATTGCCTTAGCTTTTAACAAAGCTGTTTCAGATGGGCTACTCAAGGTAAAATATTTTAGGCCTGCGTGTCAAAATATTGGATTTTTAATATATTATAAGATGAACAATGATATTATTGGGCCAATATAAATATTACCAGTTCAGTAGGCCTAACTAATGGTACTTCAGGTGGAGGGTGGAAAGAACCTTATCTCTCTTAGCCCCAACTTTCTATACAAAAATCTAAAGATAAATTATAAAGATGCATAAAAATTATTCATACCTATTCATATCATCGTTTTGTTTACCTGTTTACTTTTCATCTCAGAATCCATAATTATATATTTCTATATTGGGGTGCTTTCTTCCCCACTGATCAAACCAACCAATGTTGAACCAATCAAAGACTAATCGGCTACAGACATTAGGATTATCCACAAACGTGAAAAAAAAAACAGAACTCTGTTCAAACAAAAACCAAGACTGTTCACAATGCAAATGTGCACTAAAGAACTCAACAGTTATTCTGACCACACAATTTTACAGCGAATGTCTTGCTATAGATTGATATTAAGGAACACTCCAGTGGAGTCAGGATGATGAAATTGAATCCCTAAATTGAGATAGAAATCTACCTCAGGAGTTTCAAGCCTTAATTACATATAAAAATTATTGTTTCCCCAGGGCCCTGTGGTTATTAGTAGGGACCATCATGATGTCAGTGGCACTGACAGTCCTTACAGGGAAACATCAAATATTTATGATGGTTCTGCCCTGTGTGCAGGTCAGTGGCATTCAAAAAAATATTAGCTGCTTGTGTTCTTTTATCAAAATCAATTCACTCCTGGTAGACCAAGGACCTTGAAGGCTAGGGCTTAATATTTTTTTTTTCCACTTGTCCTCATCATTTGGACCCAGCCTTTTGACATCAAGTAAAGATGACTTTCCAGATCTCTCCCCCCCCCCCAACCTTGAATACCGGTACAAGGAGCTATTTATTATATAACGATATATTGTAAATATTAAATTTTAAAGCAATTCCTTTTTATAACTAATTTTTGCTTAATATTTTTTTTTTCCACTTTTCCTCATCATTTGGACCCAACCTTTTGAAATCAAGTAAAAATGACTTTCCAGATCTCTCCCCCCCCCCCCAACCTTGAATACCGGTACAAGGAGCTATTTATTATATAACGATATATTGTAAATATTAAATTTTAAAGCAATTCCTTTTTATAACTAATTTTTTCCATAACGGCACTTGTGCACATTTTTATAATTGTGAGGCGCACTGAAGAAATATAAAGATAGTGACTTGCATTATCAGCCCCATCTTATAGCTTTTGTAACACTTCTCTTACGAGGGTTTATCAGCTCCATCTTATAGCTTTTGTCATACTTCTCTTATAAGGGATTATCAGCTCCATCTTATAGCTTTTGTCACACTTCTTTTATGAGGGATTATCAGCTTCATCTTATAGCTTTTGTCACACTTCTCTTATAAGGGATTATCATCCCCATCTTATAGCTTTTGTCACACTTCTTTTATGAGGGATTATCAGCTCCATCTTATAGCTTTTGTCACACTTCTTTTATGAGGGATTATCAGCTCCATCTTATAGCTTTTGTCACACTTCTCTTATAAGGGATTATCAGCCCCATCTTATAGCTTTTGTCACACTTCTTTTATGAGGGATTATCAGCTCCATCTTATAGCTTTTGTCACACTTCTCTTATAAGGGATTATCAGCCCCATCTTATAGCTTTTGTCACACTTCTTTTATGAGGGATTATCAGCTCCATCTTATAGCTTTTGTCACACTTCTCTTATAAGGGATTATCAGCCCCATCTTATAGCTTTTGTCACACTTCTTTTATGAGGGATTATCAGCTCCATCTTATAGCTTTTGTCACACTTCTCTTATAAGGGATTATCAGCCCCATCTTATAGCTTTTGTCACACTTCTCTTATAAGGGATTATCAGCTCCATCTTATAGCTTTTGTCACACTTCTCTTATAAGGGATTATCAGCCCCATCTTATAGCTTTTGTCACACTTCTCTTACGAGGGATTATCAGCCCCATCTTATAGCTTTTGTCACACTTCTCTTACCATGGATTATCAGCCCCATCTGATAGCTTTTGTCACACTTCTCTTATGAGGGAAGGACTCCAATGAGAAATCATTTGTATTCAACAGGGTGGCTATAAAAGTGTAAAAAATTAATTCATGAACATCTATTTTGAAATGATGAAGGTTGGAGTGGAAACATTGTATGTTATAGCTTGACAATACTTGTTACATACACAAACATTTTGTGTTCTCTGCATGGCTTTAACACAATCCAAACCTCTTATAATTACCAGTACTTCAATTGTATTCTGCAAAACTCTAACCTCATTAAGGTGTTCATAAACATTATTGCTGAGAAACAAACTTATATTAATCCTTTTGAGTAAAAGCAAATGCAAAACAAAATTATTAAGCTACTTTTTGGCATTACTTTTTAAAATAACAAATTTTTTTTTTTCAGATATGGCAATACAGAATGTAATAGGCGACAGTTTCAGAGGGGCAACATGGGTGGCTATACACAATGGGGGAGGTGTGGGTTGGTGAGTTGTGTTGTTAGAGATGGTCGGTTTAATGTGATTCATTTCCTCAGATAATTTGAAATTTCAAAAAGAGAAAATTGAAGTTTGCTAACTAAATTTGATTTAAATATCTAAATCTGTGGTCTTGAACAAAGTGAAAATTCATGCTGATAGAAATTTTTATCGATACCGGTAACTAACAATATTTACCATTTAATTTTATCACTTCAAAGTTTAATTGGAAGCATTTGAGACAACAATTGATATTAAATTAAGGAAAATAATAACAGATTTTATTTTATTGATTTAGGGGTGAAGTAATCAATGGTGGCTTTGGTCTTATACTTGATGGCTCAGAGGTGAGTCTTGCTATAGAGAGAGGAATGTATAGATTTTCTTTTCAAGATTTTTTAATAACTTCATATTTCTTGTGTGGCAGTGTGCCACTTAGGGGTAAGGAGCACACTCCTGTGTTACTGTTGTTTACCCCAGGCATGTTCACACCCACTGAACTGGACCGATGAACAACTTATGACGATGACGTGTGTGATATATAAGGCGGGTGATTAAACCTGTGATAGGGTCTGAACTGATATTTGGAGTCAGCTGCATGCGTTTTATATTTGCCTGTTCTAAATGATTGTAACCCACGTTTATTAAATAAAGCTTTAAGTCTCAAGACCTGCATTTTCTTGTTTATAAATTTAACTGTCAGCAGCCACACCACCACTTGGCTGCACATGACAAAATTGTTTCTGTCAATTGGTTTTTCATTCAACTTTTCATTCCACAGGATGCTGCACGTCGGGCCAAGAGCATGTTAGCTTGGGATGTAAGCAATGGAGTAAGTTATATCTTGTTGACTTCTTGGATATTTTAATTTCATATATTATTGATGTGCACATACAGATCTGATCCTAATGGGCTCAAAATCTAAAAAAAAAATTATTAGAAATATTAGAACCTGCCATGCCGCTGATGCCATGCTGTCTACATAAGACCTTTGTTGTTTTAAATATAAATCTAGATTTAGTTTTAATTTTTTTGTGAGATTAATGTCCCTTAAGATGCTGTTGAAATGTTTAATATCATATTTTAAATGTTATTTAAATAGGGAAAAGGTCTTCCTCCTTATTTATTAACATTGCTCAACTTTTAAAATAAGATAAGATTAATTTATTGACCCAAAGAATGGAAATGTTTTAAATACTTTGTATATATTCATTGTCAGCACATCAATAAATACATATTTTAACCTAGACCACATTTTACCATTATAACTATTTAAACACAAGACATCTAAAGTATTTCTCTAGCATAGAGAACAGCCTTCAATTAATTTCTTTAGTGACAATAAAGAGTTAATTAGTGTTCTTTTAGAGTTTGTAACTGCTGGGGGAGCATGCAGGTAAATTCTTACAGACAGGGGAACAAAAGAATTTTTATATCTTTCAGTCCTAACTTTAAGAGAGATAAATTCACCCTGATTAGACTGATTTTAGGTACCGGTAGCTGTTAAAAACTTGTTTGTTTATCCTGAAATTGTATTATATATTTAAGATAGAAAAGTCTTTGGTTGACTTTTCATACCTAATTTGGCCGTGTTCATGCAGTGTAAGCTTATGGTGAATATTATCAACATGTGTACGTTGATCAACATTTTAAATGTAGTCAACTGATGATTTTTACAAGCATTACATCTTAAAATATAACAAAAATTAAAAAAGAGTCAATTAAAGAGAATTGTGGTTTGCTATCTTATTAAACTGAATTTTGTATTGTGTCCATTGAAATTTTATTGAACTTAACATTTCTTAATCCCAAAAATTAAAAAAAACAAATATTTAAAAAAAACAACTTTTAAACAACTCAACATGTCATAAGACACTATGATGAGCAAGATCTGTCACATAACACTATGAGCAAGATCTGTCACATAACACTATGTGCAAGATCTGTCACATAACACTGAGCAAGATCTGTCACATAACACTATGTGCTAGATCTGTCACATAACACTATGAGCAAGATCTGTCACATAACACTATGAGCAAGATTCAGCTGACAAGCAGACACAGTACAAGTACCGGTACAATAAAAAAAAAAAAAAGAAGAAAAATTGCTCTCAAACAGCATTGTAAACATGAATATTATACGTAACTGCATTTGATATAGAGCATCTGAGCATTGCACTCCCTACTTTCAAAACGCTATTTAATCAAGTTTTGCATGGCTTCCTTTTTTTTTCTTTTTTTTTTTTAATAGAAATATTTACAAGAATAAAGTAAACAATTATTTTTTTTTAAGTATTGCATTTAATAAAAAAAATCTTTGTGTGTCTAAAGGTTTCTCGACGATGCTGGGCTGGAAATGAAAATGCTAAGCTGGCAATACAACGTACAATGGATACTGAGCCACAGCTGAAGGTTACCATGCCCTATGAAATAGAAGATGACAGTCTTTTGGAAAGGGCTTTACATCCATGTTTTTGATTTTCATGGAGTCTTCGCTAGGCATTCCTAGAGATGTGCATTTTTTAATATCTGCTGATGAAAATGAATGGAATAAATACAGATGCCTCCACGCTTTGAAATATTTGTGTAATTTGATACAAAATTTGAGGACATTGAATTATTTACATCTTTTACATGAAATATATACAGATGAATAATATGGCAGCATTTATCCTTTCTTTTTTAATTTAACCACCATGGGCTGTAAAGGATCAATTCAATTATTGCCAATAGTAATAAACTGAAATATTTTTAATGGAAGTGATAACATATTTACATTTAACATTCAGCTTTGTTTTGATATCAAGAAATGTTTTTTACTTTAACTTTTAAATCTCATCAAAAATCAATTATGCAATTTCCTAGATCAACTAGCGAAGAATTAAGATTTAAATTTATTAATATTTTCCTCCCCCTTAAAGAACATGACTAATCAATTATAAGTGACAATCGTGATGTATCGATATGAAAAATCATCTTGGTGGCTGACTCATTGCAGCAGCCTTTCGAAAGTTGTTGAAGTGATCTAAGTACTGAGCCATCGTCATTGCTGGTGTGTATGTTTCATCCATTTTTACTTTCAAGCTAGGTGGAGGTGATTCTGCAATATTTCCTATCAGGCTATGTAAAAGTTCTTTCAACAAATTCCAGCATTCTGAGGCAACAACTGATGGGCAGTATTCAACCTAAAAATGAGGTTTTTTTTTAAAATGTATATACTTTAAGAAGTTTAGAGTTGTAATTTATGTAATTTTCCTAACAAAGTAGATTTACAATCATAATAAATCTATTCATTTCCATATAGTTAAATAAACATAATATATATTAATCTTGCATTCATTTATTAAATCTTGTTTGTAAATTTTTCTTAATCTTAATAATAGCTATATTTAAAAATACTTATTTTATTTAGTATTGTCGGTGTTCATGTTACAACCCTGATGGTAGAGCAACTACCAATGACTGGAACCACATTTTCAGTTTACAGTAAAAATTTTGTTATTAGAGCATTTTTTAAAAGCTAAATAATTACTTTAAATTTATTTTATTATTTACTGATACAACAATTTTTAAAGAAATTTTTGTATACAAAAGGTTTGGCTTAATTTTTGTCTCAAAGTTTAAAGTACAATAACGTTTTTCTTAAAGCAAATCATAATCAAATCAACAAAATAAAGAAACTTATTGAAACGGTGATCATACCTCAACGAGAATACCTTTAAAACTTCCAGCCAAAGAAACTGATCCTATTTTTATAACAAAGTCTGCAAGCTGAAACCTCTGTCCTTTGAACTCCATTTTATTTTGTTTCCTGGCCTGGTAATAGTTTTTTAAATTGGACATCAGTCCGTCAAAGAGAGTGTCAGCTACAAGTGTGATCCCTGAGTCCAGAATGGCAAAACATGAAGCTGGGTATTCACTGCTGTGAAGAATTTGTAGAGTTTTTGCAGCTGAAAATAATAAAATAAAAATGTTTGAAATCTTAATCTTGCAATTGAAATTTGCAAAAGAAATAATTAAGAAATACTGGATAAAACTTGTTCTCAATTTGAAAATATTAGTTATCAAGAATATAATGATATTGGGGCCTATCTAACTAATGCAAATAAATCATTTTAACTTTTTTTAAATTTAAAAAAAAAAAAAATTAAATGGAAAGTGGGGCTATTTTGCCTTAAACTTAAAACATGACAGGCTATGACAGAATATTTTTTCAAAAAATGTTGCTAACCTAAAAAAAGTTAATAGTGGAATTGGTAACTTTAAAAAGTCAACTTACGATTAAGCATGACAGATTGATAGTTTTCACAGTCAACATGAAAGTTTCCCATCTTGGTACCTCCCATTGTTTCAATTTGCTTATGTAACACATCAACAACCTGAGAACCACTTCTCCCCTCAGGTACAGGGTAGGTATAAACACTTGAAATAATTAGTTGAAATAATTAACAGAATTTAAAAATTAAGTAAGCTTTAAATTTAAATCATTGGAAGTAAAGCATTTATAATCTTTTGGAAATGATAACTCTTTAGGCATATATATATAACGTCTAAAATTACTTCTATTTTATTATTTTTAATCTGAAATTGTCTGCAGTACCGTAAGCCAGTAGTTTAAGTGAGTCTGATAATTTAGAGAATCGCGCGAACCCTGCAAAAACTTAGTTAAATAGAACTTAACTGCCTAAAATCTATAAATTTGAATAAATTATTAATTTTAGTATGGCTGAAGTTTGTTAGGGGTAGAAACAGCAAATGCCTTAAGTTCCTAAGCATAATAATAATTCATAGTATTAAAATGCAATTGGCAGAGCCCGCAATATTTATACAACCAATGTTTCTTTCTTTATATTGTAAGGATAATTCATGTATGAGGGACTGTCTGCCTAAGCATAATTCGGGATGAACAAAGCAACTTTATTTTATTGATCTGAGAGGTTACCAATTTTAAGCCTAAAATAAAAGTAAGATTGATCATTTAAAAAAGTTTAGGAATGCCTATTAATACTATGGCCATGCCATACTCATACCAATGGCATTGAATAGGAGGGAGCATGGGCGCCCACAGAATGGGTCAAGGTGGGGCTTATGACACACACCTCCCTGGAAAATAATAAATTCATACTAAAATATTTGCACTTTGTCCCTATGAATATAATTAAAATAGTTTATATAAAAATAAATAGTATTTATTTTTATATGTCACAACTGACCAGGGCTGACAAGGGAAACGATGGGCGTAGGCACCGATGGGCGTAGGCATCGGGCAAAAGTACAATTGATGAGGGAGTAGTTAACCTGACATCCACAGAGTTTAAGGAAGTACAGGGAAGGCATGATAGCTTGGAGGCAGGGAGACACCAGGTGGACCGTGTGGGAATGGGTATCACGAATGAGTTTAAGTAATGTGTTTTGTAGTTTGGTGGTAAAAGTGGAATTTTCACGAAGACCATGGGTAGCATTAGATTAATGATAAGTGATACAAGAAACCTCAATTTGATAGATGCTAAAAAGCGCATAGAGACATGGAATAGGCATCACGAGTAAAGGATCTGGTTGGGAGAATGTTGTCTTTAATGAGGTAGCAATCCAATGACCTTGGGACGTCTATCTAGTAGAGTTTATAGTCACACAACGGGAAATATACAAGAAGATTTGTTGAGTCAAGGGTTAGAGATTTGTGGACAGTCAGTCTGAAGTGACTAGTTTTATTCAAAGATACACCTAGGGATAGAAACTTAGATTTATGAATCCTTGTAAAATTAATATGAATAAAAAAGGACAGACCTGTATGTAAGCAGCATCAAATGTTAAGAGCCATGTGGGCTGAGAAGCCAGCTAAATTACAAAAGAAGTCATTTGCTGATGATGAGTGTAAGACATGTTGTAACCTTAAAACTGTGTCCACACCAATGACACTGACAAGAGATCACTAACAGGTTAAAGAACAAACTAAAAGTAGTGACCTGACCATTTCACACTTGCAGGAGTTTGAAGATGGATGCAGCCAGTGGTTCTTAAAGATGCAATTCATTACTATTGGCATCCCTGGCTTGCCTTTTCTAGTCATCTTAAAGGTCCAGTATGTATATTTTTCACTGTTTTCCCGCAACCTATTTGGAATGAGTACCAGTGGCATTTATAGCAACATCTTTCACTAAGTACAATGACTTTTCTCATGGTGCCCGAAATCATGTGTAAAATGAGTGACACAAAGGTGCTCAGCAGGATGCAACAGCCATCTTGAGCAGCGAGCACACATTAAGAATCCAAACTGACATATCCTAAGTTAGATAGACAAGTCTATTTCTATTAAGATTTTAGATACTTGAAATAAGCTTTTGCAGATATTATCCAAAATCATTTTATGTGTAACACACAACATCGCACTTCATGATCTGTTCAGCTTAGAGTCGAGGCTGGTGACAAAGACCTCAAGACACATTTGCAGATTTCCGTTGGTAATGCTCGTTATGCGTCTGACAGGATCCAAAATCAACTGATAGGTTAGGAAGTAGACAACCTAGATACTGCATTTAATATATGTGAAGAATTTATTGGATTCCAGCCACTGAAGCAAATGACAGCATCTGCAATTGAAAATGTTATAATGAATCACTGCAATGAATGCGGTCTGGTCATGACAAAATTACTTGGACAAGGATATGATGGCTGTTCCATATTTGCAAAAAATATGCCAGATATTTCCAAATGCAGCTTTTGTTCCCTGCTATGCGCATTGTCTCACTCTGGTGTTAAATGATTTGAATTCAGATTTTCATTTGGCTTATGCCACTGGTACAATCAAAATTATAATTAAATTTTTTCAAGAAAGCATAAAACGAAGGTTGTTAATAACTAATGCTCCATTGTTCTGTGAAACTCAATAATCCGCAAAATATATAAGCATTTGCATTTTCAGTGAGAATTTTGAAGTGATATGCAATCAATTGCACAATCTGGCAATAATTAACACTGGTAAAATGTGACAAGATGCTCACCAGCTATTGTGTTCATGTTCTTCACCTACATTTCTTGTATGTCTTATGATTATCTCTACATACTCAGTGATACTGGAACCAGTAACTCAATCATTACAAGTCATACAGCTGGATTTGGTAAGTGTACAAAAACATATTTGTAAATTAACTGATATTTTCCATGAACATCATCAGATTGTTGAAACTCAGTTTCATAAAAATAGTTATGAAAACGTCTTGTTAACTTTGAGATGAAGAACCTTTGTATCTGTGGACTTGGCTCTTGCAGCTTTAGTTAACTTTGAGATGAAGAGCCGTCTTATCTTTGGACCACAAGTACATCTTAGCAATCCTAGAAAGTCAACAAGAGTGAGGATCCCAACTTTGAAGAAGACTTCTTTAGATAAACAATATTTGTTTGTTACTTGGATTCTATAATATCCTCTCTGACCAACTGTTTCTATCGAGACAACAGTCCCCAGTTCCAGCTATTCAGACTTCTTTCAGCCTGCTATTATGACAAGTCTTAATCATGTCGAGTTTAAGAAGAGTGTTGATATCATTACTAGTTAGTACTCAATTGACAACTTTGAGCTTGAAGCAATGAACTGGTTTGATTTTTGGAGCACATATTAACAATCACAAGATATTAAAAATGACTTGCAGCTTATCGACTTGCTGCCAAGCACTGACTTTTTCCGACCTTGTGTTCATTACCGAGACGTGGTTTAAACGTGTCGGAGATGAGGTGAAGCTTCAAGAAATTACACCTCCGGACTACGTCCTTCACTCTTGCCCACGGCAGTCGAGCAGTGGTGGTGGTATTGCCGTCCTTTACAGGAACTCCCTTAAAAACAGTGTGGCCTTCTCAAAATCGGACGAGTTTGTTTCATTTGAAATGTGCAAAATGCAACTTGATTATGGTGAACAAGTGATGACATTTCTCTGCATATACAGGCCACCTCCAAATAAGCAAAATAAGTTGAAGATCTGTCAGTTTACTGTGGAGTTTATACAGCTCCTTGACATGTATGCCACCAGCAACAACAATGTCATCATAATCGGCGACATAAACTGCCATTTCGACTCCACCACCGACAGCTACGTGAAGACCCTAAAATCAGCTCTTGACACACACGGAATGACTCAGCTTGTCAGTGTCCCGACGCAGAAGCGAGGTCACATCCTAGATTGGCTAGTTGTCAGAGAGGACCGGGCAGCTATGATCCAAAACCTCATTATTGAGGACAAACTTATTTCTGATCACTTCCCGGTCGCCTTCGACTTTGACTTGAGGAAGCCAGAACGCCTTCTGCGATTAGTAACATCCCGAAACCTCCGACAGATG